GCCCAGGCGTTCCCGGTGAGCATGGTCATCCTGGCCTGCCAGGTCGACCAGGAAAACCAGGGCGCGTAGGAGAACCAGGCGCTGCAGGACCTCCAGGAGAACCAGGAGAAATAGGAGTTAAAGTGAGTTGGAACTAATTAATTTTTATAAGGCAAGGCGTAGACCGCCTTTTCTTTGTCTGAAGTATCATTCCTAAAAATGCGTATAACTGAAAAATGAATACATTCCAAGTAATAAAAACGAAAATAAACTCTTATTCAATTTTTTTTCGCTTAGGGAGCACCTGGAGACGATTCTATTGGCGGAACTGGGATAAAAGGTCCACCAGGGCCTCCTGGACCACGTGGTCCTAAAGGTCCTCCTGGACCTAATGGCTTGCCTTCAACTAATCATGGACCACCTGGACCACTTGGCGAAACTGTAAGCAGTTCCCACTAGGCAAAACTTATTTCCTAAACTTTTCCACTTCACTTCCAATAAAAATGTTTTGCAATGATAACTTAATGAAGAAATTTATTCAGGGACCAATGGGACCACCAGGTAGAAGAGGAGACCCAGGTCCGCCAGGTCCCGCAGGCCCTTCGGGAGAACCAGGAAACCAAGGCGGTCATTGTCCATCGTCTTGTGGAATTCAAGAAGTTGTTGCTCCATCCGTTATAGAACTGGACACCTCCAACTAGCATGACAATAAGAAATAATTTTCTTACCACAAAAAACCACTAAAAATTATTTTTGAGGAACGTAGATTTTTAAGAATCTGGTCTGTTGGCCAGTTTAGTAAAAAATGATTTTATTGTGGTAAATGTTTTAGACAGCTTTCAGTTGATTCTTTCAACAGTAATTTTACTCAATAATTCTGGGCGATTTCTTTGTTTTTTACTTCACAGTGAAACACATATATTCTTTTAATAAGCAAATTACTCTTACTTCAAAAACACTGTTGAATTCGAAAAAATAAACTTTTTTTCTGGCTATTCAGGCGATTAGAGCAAGATTTAGTCCTGTTTACCTCAACCTATAAACAGAAAGCAGCGCGTATTAATTCTCTTTATTCAGAACATATTCATTTAATTTAGAGGAAATACTATAAAATTTTTCGTTATGCTGCAAACTCCTTACTAAACCGAGCTGATTTTGGGTTTTTAAGTGTCAAGTTGATAATCGGAGAAAACGATCAAACTTTGGTTTTGAAAAAAAATCAAAAAAGATATAACAGGCCCATTGTTTCACGTGGACACAAACCTACACCCAGCAGATGTCAAAGGCAAAGAGATTAAGCACAGTTTAGTTGCCACTTAGAATGTGAACAGTTTCAGTGGTAATAGTTACTTTTAAAACGAAGTCGACTGAACATTTAAAATAGGCGCACTATCGTCATAAGTGGCACAACAGCGCTTAGAACATTTAGAAATTTCCTTAGTTCTATTATTCTTCCGTTCGTCTGTTTAGATCAAACGACAACGGTTATGGCAGCCCTTAAGATAGCACAAATTCATATATTTTACAGGAGGTCCCTCACCCTCATGCCCTAACTAGCAAGGTGTCTTATTCAGCAGCATTTTTAGATTTACGCACCGAATACTGTTTTTTGGCTTCATTTTAGTTCCATTCATTACCATTATGATACGCCTCCAGCACAGTCATTTTTGCCTTAAAATATGGATTTGCTTTTTGGCCAACAAATTAAACTGAACTTACTTCGAATCATATTTTTCATATTACAGGACTTCAAGTGTTGGACTAATTTTTTTGAATTTTACAAAACTTAAGGGCTAATTCAGTAGACGATCAATTTTCTTTACCTCAAGTGGCTTTTCCATGTTAACCGCATTAAAGTATCTGTTATATTACGCAGTAACTGTTCACAGGAATTTGAATGAAAGAATAGGCATAAACTTTTCAGGCTTTAAACAGTCTTTGCTGTTGCAGATAAGTAGAGAACGAAATGTAACTACTCTGCAGGTTTAATAAGAAATAATAATTAAGCAATGTGATAGATAATTATTAAAGTGGGGCATCCGACGCTTTTTTGCTGTTTCATCAAGCTCTTTCTCATTTGGTTTTGGAATGTTCTACTATTATTTTTTATCAGTCTAAGTGAGCAAGCGCAAATGATTGTAGCAGCATTCATATTTTTTTCGGTACTTTTTTCCGCATAATGTATGACAGTTTCTTTCATGTCCAGTGGAGTTTTGTTTAATACAATTTCTTTGCTAATAATTCACCACAATTTTGATCTGTGTTGAGTTAGTTTCATTACTTTTAGTTTCGACATGAAAGGCATGATCTGTTTTGCGTTTTAATTTTTAACACAGTTTCACGTTTCTTCACTCGTGTGAGCCTTTTAATGCTTTGCAGAGATTTGTAAATCAATAAATGGAAAATAAACAGCATTTGCAAATAATTATAGTCTTTAGTGGTACTTAAATCAGAAATTGCGATTAAACAAATGGCCATTCAGGGAAAATTTTTATTGGAGATGCTGTAAAACCTGGACATCTTGGTTCTGCGTTATCCATATATGAAGCTAACGGCAGAGAAGGCAAATGAGAAGAAATATGGAAAAGCAGATCTGATAGTCGGAGAATGAGGTCGTTTTAAGACATTACAGAGACAGATCAATATTTACTGTTGGATAAACAAAAAAAAAACGGGGAACGTGTATGATCTAAATTTTAGCGCGTGGGTAAAGCACTTCAAAAAATACAACTGGATTGATAAACTGTTTTGGATTGGTAAATTTATTTGTTGATTTCATTAGGAAGGAAAATTTGGCAAGGCTTTAGTTGATTAGGGTTTTTGTCGTTTTCTGAAAATAAAAGTACAGTTCCTTAACGGTTTGGGTTTACTCTTCATCCTAATGCTGTGCTGATGTGAGGATTGTCATTTCAAGTAAAACTGTAAAATTGGAGATGGGTTACGGCACACAGAAAAATTTGTTTGAAATTTTTGCCACATAATAAGTTTTTGCTAAATACCTTTGGCTCTGTGATAATTCTACACTTAAACGACTGAGAAAATGTAAGGTTAATCTAATCGCAACTATATAATGTTTTATTGATGAGAAAGATTTGTCTGTAGAGAAGTTTGCTCTGATATTTGACGAGTCTGCTTTTTAGTGAAATTCGTCAACAACTTAATTTTCTATGACAGTTACTCTATTTTGCGTAATTATTCTGTCATTTCTTTTAGCTTTTCTATTTACTTCGGTAGCGCAGTTCCGGCAACTTTTCGCGTCGCATAATAAATTTTCTGTTAAAAAAATAGTCAACTGAATAGGAATTTTAAAACTTACCTTACAGGAATTTTTTTTCATAAAGCAGCAAAGGATATCGCGAAACTAAGATTTGATGAATTAAACATAGCTTGATTTTGACATATCACTCTGCTGAAAAAGTGGATTTTTAAAAAGATTCAGATGTCGAAAGTTGGACTACATCATAGGTAACAGATATACTCACTAAAAAAGAGACACTAAGAAAGACGACGTTATTGTCTTACCTCATGAAACCTGATTTTATATTCTCTTATATCATGTTAAAAGTAATTAACTTTTAAACAGAAATATTTCTTACTTGTGTAATGACACCAGCTCCTGAAGCATCAATTTTTTTATCCTGCTGAAATATACGGTTTAGTGAAAATTTTGATGATGCAGAATGTTAATTAACAGAAAATTTATAGTTTGCTTTTGGTACACTAAGCGTCTTAGTGTTTTTTAGAATAATAATGATCAGCGGAGAACCTGTCTAACCATATACAATAATGTATCTATAATTTCTTTTTTTTTTTCGTTTTTTCAATCACAGCTTTGGTCAATTTTACTGTAGAGAAACAAATTTTTAAAGCAATTTTTAAAGTGATTGTTTAACCTGCAGAAACACTACTCCAATTTTTTACTAATAACTTTACAAAACTGTATAAGACTTTGGTATATTTATGCGTCATATTATTTTAGCTAGAATTCTAATTTCTGGTTTATCTTTTCTTAGTTGAGCAGTCTAAAAATAACTGTTCAAAAGAGTTCAAATCTTCCATGCAATCTATTTTTTCCAGATTTACTTAGCATCTACTCATTTTCTTGTTCTGTTTTTCTCTTCATTTTACTTTATTTTACTAGTATTTGTAAGCATTTTAATAGAGAGTAGCAACAATAAAGTTTGCCAGATAAGATATCAAAAGTTGAACTTCGTTTTCGTTTACCATTCCAGACAATTCTTAGTAGTTGCTTACTAGCCGTGAAAAATTTGTTGACTTTGAAGCGTTTGCACATATATTTTCTGAAGAAATATTCATTACAAAAGCAAATAGCAACAAATGATGTCCTGATCAGACGACCGTCGTTTGCCGAAACTTTAAGAAAGCAGAAAAACAGTTGATTCAGTGAATCATGGTGCTCTATAGTATATTAATCGTTACTGTTTCTGTAAATCTAGTTCTAAAAGGGAAAAATGAAAAGAAAATAAAAACTAAAAAAAAAAA